CATTTTGTTCTTCTTATAATGCAACAATGACAGAAGAACACTTAATTTCATACCTGGTTTATTTTGAGTTTTACTTGCGCTTCCTGAGCCATGTCTTCTGTGAATCCTTCCTGCAAACACTCGGTAGAAAACGACGCTAAATGCATGCATACTTTACAATCCACATAGTCTCGCAGACAGATGAATTCTTCTGATGGGTCCTCAACTGCAAAAGATGAGAATGAGAATTTTCAGCTGAAAGTAAAGTATCCGGGGTCCCAACCTTCACCCTAGTTAGGTTGTAAAATCTGAAAACAAATTTTGGCCTTTTGAATACCTTCGCGCCAATTGTATCTCACCCTACAATTCTAGGATTAAAATGCACGGACATACAGCTCATTCTACTCAGCTTGAGTGTGAGCAAACATTTACTGTATATTTTCATTACCGAAAAAAAATTTACCTCACAGTTGGAGTAACTTTTCACCAGCAACGGCTTTTAACACCTCTGATTTTTTTTGGCTTGACTAATTTTGTTTATACTCACCACTGCCATGACAGCAGCCAAAAACTGATTTTTGAATACTTTCGCCACAAATTTATTACCTCCTACCAGTCTTGTGATAGCAGTGTTCAAATGATCATGCTTTTTATTTTGGTTACGTTGCGCACTGGTAAGAGATCAGCGGCGCCTACATTGTTACATTGTATCGACGTAATCCCAACGCAACTTTGAATGAACTGTAAATGCTGCCTTCATTCTAGAAAATACTATCGCAAAACGGTTGGAAATAATAAATGTAACTGCAGAATACGTTCTAGTAATAAAGTAACGTGACTTCTAAAAGACTGAATGTTTTTTTGCAATTTTCGTATACGTGGCCTATTTAGTCATAAATCGACGTTAGTTTCCCGTTCATGCCCTACCATGGAAACAGCCGAAAAACATGTTGCTTGCTTTTCAGCGGAGCGGATCGCCATCTAGCCTACCGGCTTGTTCAGTTACCACTTCATTTTTCTTCTCGATTCACACGGTCAAAGTCACTTCCTTGTCAAGCAATGCTCAACGAAATTTGTTCCTAATGTTTTTATCGATCTCTCGCACAGCTGACTCGTCTTTTATAAACAATTTCACCATTATCGCTGCATGAAACTTGTAAACAACGATCCAACGCAACTAACAATTGAAATAATAAAATGGCGCAGTTGGTGAAAAGAAAAATGAAAGCTCTTCACTGTTTGGCCCGTCAGAGAAAACCCAGCCAATCATGTTAATCGTTACATATTACTTCGAACACTTCAAAACTACTTTTTTACGATTGTACTGATGAAAAGATTTTCCCGGGGCAGATTTACATAATACTACAGTTCGATAACACAGCCAGTCACACAAAATCCACCAAAAGGGAACTGCAAGTCGTATAATGCCAAAACAGTACTATGATTTCACAACTTTCTAATTACGTTTGCTTTTATCGATGTCCACTGTACACCAGTAAACTATCAGAAATTCGTAACACATAATTCGAGTGATGGTATAACAAAATAACTCATCATTTGTAAATTCAATCCATCGAAAA